AAGTCTACAGTTCGAATCCCTCCTACCCTGTGTCCTACGAAAATCTACCTACCACTGGCGATCCTACAGGTCGCAGGTTCAAAGCTACGGGTTGACATCAATACTGTACACAGGTAAGACGGGGAACTAGGGATCGAGCCCTGGGATCTGCATTTGCTACTGCGAACTGGTGAATACCGTTTCACTCCCGCCGGCCTAAATTCGAGGTCCTCCGAGAAATTTCAGTCCAAGGCAGGACCTTTACCCTTCTGCTGTCTCTCGTAGGCCCGGACTATATCGGGAGCTGTCTCTAGAAGTTCCGATCTTGTAAACCAGCGGTCGTCTTCTGGTTCCTGATAACTAAAATGAACCTTGTACTGTTTCTGCGGACGACCCCTACCTCCAGTTCTGAATACGTCTTCAGCCACTATGCCATCGATGTCATACCTTCCATCCATATCGGGTGGAATCATAGATCTACGGGATGGAAACTGATCACTCGTTTGGCAAGGTAGTAACTTCGATGCGTGGAAAACTGGGTAAGTGTGGAGGTGTGCTGGTAACTCTATGGTGTAGGACGGTACATCTTCGCCGCCCTTGACTTCCAGAACAGGCCACGGCCCTCTATATGTGGGCAGTAACTTCTGCGAGATGTTCTCCTCAGGTGCAAATTCTCTAGAACTAACCCAGACTAAGTTGCCTACCTGAAACTGTGAAGGGCGACGGTGTTTGTTCGCTTGCTCTATCATCCTATGCTGGGCTTTCCTGAGGTTCTCGACAACACTAGCTAGTTCTTTCTCGTGCTGTACAGCAAACTCCCTGGTCCCGGGCGGCAACCTGTGAATCTGATCCCGGTTGAGTCCCTCAAACGGTGTGCGCGGTCTAAAGGACTTGTGCAGTTCATTGGGAGTGCGGCATGTAGACAGATGCACGCTGTTATTGTACGCACTAGCTACTTTGGGCAACATCTCATCCCAGTTAATCTGATGTGGTCTAATATACATGCGCAGAACTTTTGCTCTGTCTGACCGTTAGTCTCTGGATGACGGCCGGACGACATCAACAACTTGGACCCATATACTCCCATGAGTTCTTGCCAGTTCTGGCTGGTGAAGCGACTATCTCTATCGCTAACTATTGACAGCGGGATTCCATTCTCACTAACCCAACAGTCAAAAAACCTCTGAATGACTAAATCAGTACGTGCCTCTGACGGCAAAGGAACAAAGACTGCGTACTTACTAAATCGGTCAACTATGACCATGACTTGGCTCTTGCCATGCCTGCTCTTGACCTGAGTCTCCATGAAGTCGATGGACACTGAGTCTCCCGGTTGGTCCAAAATGGGTAAGGGTCTGAGAAGACCTAACGGGGCGCGCGTAGAACTCTTGTTACGCTGGCAGACCTTACAACTGCGAACATACTCTACGCAGTCATTCTTCATCCCTGGCCAGGTATACGCGCGCATCAGATTGGCTAAGGTCTTTTGCCAACCAAAATGACCCTCTGTGTCATGGCATTCGCCCAAAATCAGACTACGAATCTCTTCGCTATTGGGAATGCACAGGCGGTCAAATACATTAGTCTTCTCAAAGAGCAGCCCTTCAGTAGTGCGGTAGTTCGGCTCAGTCTCTGGGGCCTCCTTGACCTTCTTAAGGAGCTCACTATAGATAGGGTCCTGCACATAGGCCTCTCTAACCTTCTGTTGCAGGTCCTTCCCTATATCGAGGTAGTGCACTATTGCCCCAAAGTAATCTGCCCTCCTACTCAGAGCATCCGCGACTACGTTGTACTTCCCTTTAACAGGCTTGAGCTCGAAGTCGTACTGATCTATTTCTGCGGCCCACCTGGTAAGCTTAGGTGTCATCTTGGCCTGCGTTTTTAACCATCGTAACGTTTCATGATCTGAATAGACTTTGAAGTGCCTCCCAAGCAAGTAGTGCTTCCAGTGGTCTAAGGCTTGCCTGAGAGCGTAGAGTTCCCTCTCATAGGTAGATGTCGCGACCTTCTCTGAAGGCATTCTGGCGGACATGAACTCTACGGGCCTATACCCATTGCCATCGTCTTGCTGTAACACTGCGCCTATGCCGTATTGACTCGCATCGGTCGTGACAACAAAGGGCAAGGACGGGTCGGCGACTTTAAGGACTGGATACTCTATCAATCCCTGCTTTAACTTTTTCATGGCAGACGTGCAGTCCTTATCCCCCTTCCAGATAGTTTCCTTCCTCAACAATCTGCGAAGGGGCGTAGCGATGGTGGAGAAGTTCCTTACGAACTTCCGGTAGTAATTAGCTAAGCCCAGGAACGAGCGCAACTCTGTCAGCGTACGTGGCGTGGGCCAATCTCTAATTGCTGCGATCTTGCTATCCTCTGGCTTAACGCCGTCTCCGTCTAAGACGTGGCCTAAGTACAAAACTCGGGTTTTCGCCCAATCGCACTTCTTTGCATTGATCTTGAAGTTAGTTTCCCTCAGCTTCTCCAAGACCTGCCTGAGATGACCCTGATGCTCTTCGAGGGTCCGGCTAAACACTAACATGTCATCTAAGTAAACTACAACAAATCTGTCTAACCACGGCCTAAACAAATCGTTCATACAGCGCTGGAACGTAGCTGGCGCATTGGTTAGTCCAAAGGGCATCACTATGAACTCGTAGTGCCCATATCTAGTCCAGAAGGCTGTCTTGTACTGATCATCAAGATGCACCTCTATCTGATGATATCCGGACTTCAAATCTATCGTGGAGAAATACTTCGCCCCCTGCACTCGATCTAAGAGATCGTCTATCCTAGGTAGTGGCTCAGCATTCTTCACTTTAATGGCATTCAGACCCCTATAGTCTATACACATCCTCAACTCTCCCTCTTTCTTAGGGACAAAGAGAACAGGGGCTCCAAAAGGAGACAAACTGGGCCTAATCCAACCCTTTTCAAGGAGCTCGTCCAACTGCTTCCGCAACTCCTCTAACTCCCGCGGGGACATCCTATACACATCACCCTTAGGAGTTCTACTGCCAGGCTCTATCTCAATACGGTGCTGGATGGGCCGCGGCACCGTGCCTGTCGGCGGCTCAGTCAAATCCTTAAACTCTTCCAGCAATTTGGCAATAGCAAGGTCTACGGGCTTCTCTTCCTTAGGCTTAGTGACTGGCCTAACATAGGCAACAAAGACCTATTCCTCTAAGTGCTCCTTCTTCACTAATCTGGCGAACGCAGGGGCACTGAGGCAGCAATGTGCCAATGAATTCTCTACTCCTGACACATGGAACAGGCGGGCAGTTTTAGCCTCGCCTGCAGCACTAGGGAGCCTACACTCGTGCTCCTTCAAATGGAGCGTGGCCCCAACTGCCTCTCCCCAGTCCATTCCCAGCACAATATCAAACGGGAGGCTATCCTCTACGAGAAGAGTCAGGGAGTGGAGGACCTTCTCCACCTTCCCATCTTTCTCTAGGCGGATATACGCCTGGACTCCCTCTACGTAATGCTCTACAACCATGGTACGATTGTCCGCGAGGATACTAACTATGGGGTCTGTCACTTTCTGGACTTTAAGTCCCAGCCTCAACTTCTGCAACGCTTTCTTACTAATATAGCTGCGGGTGGCCCCTGAGTCTACTAGGGCCCCTACTCTACTTCTAAAAATCTCTACATCTAATAAAATCAGCTGCCCTTTATTCTCTTTCTTCATCTTGGCCCAGGCGGGCCTCCTCTCCTTCAATTCTTCGGCCACGCCTGTGAGGGAGGTGTCTAGAGAGACTCTAACACAAGCAGTCTCTGGGCAGTTATCTAGACACCGGCCTGCAACCTCTACCATAGGCACATGTGGTGTGGGAGTCTCCTGCCGGCTAGCGCTATGTTCCCCACATGGCCTAGTGGTAGGGGCAGTTGCTACCCCTACCGACAGCTGCCTTTTGGCCCTTGGGCAGCCGTTCGGGTCTCGCGATACTTGGGACAGTATTTGATGATGTGGCCCGGGTCACCACAGAAAATGCACTGGCCCCGGTCCAATCGTTGTTGCCATAAAGTCTGGTCCAGACCCAAAGATTCCCAAGGCCTGCCCTGCGGCAGCCCTGGGTGCCATCCTCCTACTCTATAGGGTGACCTATTCCTAGGACGGTTTTGCGGGGGACCTTGACCCCTGCCTCCCGCTTAGCGGTTTCCTCCTCTACCGCCAACCCCCTGCTGAGGCCCGGCCCCCTTGGCCCTGGCCTCGTCCTCCTTGCGGCCTCCCTCCAGCCGCGACAGCAGCGTAAGTTCTCCCCTGGCCCACACCGCTGTCATCCTCCTCTAACCCCCACTCAATCTGGTCGTAAGGGATCTCGTCCACACTACCCTCGTCTAGAGTTAGGACAAGGCTATCCTTAGTCTTCACTTGCCCAGAGATAGTGCGGCCCTTCCATTGCTTCCCCTTGTCCAAATCTTTGTGCCAGAAGGTAGACACAGATGCTGACTTGGCTTCAAAGGCCACCACTTCACGAGTAAGAGAATCATACGTAGTGGCCGGATCTTCGCTCTTCGAGAACAAGTGCCCTCGCAAGGCTTCGGGGATAGCCCGGTAGAAGAGGCCGACCAATTGGGTGTCTGTGACCCCATGGTCAGGAACAGCGATTAATTCATCCATCGTGCTCTTGAGTGCCCTGGCACTCTCCCACTTACGAGCGTGGATTGTCTGGAGCCTATCTAAGGCCTTGACACCTCGAGCGACATCTGCAAATCGCTCGCGCAGCAATCTCATGAACTCAGTGAGGGAAGTGAATGCCGAATAGGCAACTGGATCGTCACTGCAGTTGGCAGCGCGAACAAGGGATCTTGCGAAGCTGGCGGCCTCATCTCTAAGTGCGTGGWTCGCAATTAGGACTTGCTGATYCGGGGAGACCTRTTGCASATGCACGTAGGTCTTAACRTTGGCCTCCCAGTTATCAAAGTTCTCTTCCCTCTTCCCACTGTAGGAATCAAGGAATTTGACCTTGACTGGCTCTCTACGCGGCGGGCGTGGTTCCTCTTCCTTGGGAGCTGCCGCCTTGACCCCCTCAATGGCGCCAACGCAAAATCGTTCAGTCTTCTCAAGGCAATGATTCACCTCGGATCCTATTGCGCCTACCAATTCGCGAGCAAAGTCCCGAAACCCCATTCGTATGGAGCGCACAGCCATGTCCTGACTTCGACTAAAATCGTACTGTTGTTCTTGTATCCGGGCTAAGCGCTCGACAGTCTGGGCAATGAATTCTACGTTTTTCTCAAGGTCTACCTGCGGTGTCAACTTCAGGGTTAGTTGCTGCATCTCCCCTAGGTCCTTGACCGCGTCAATCGCCGCATCCACTTTCCTCTTCTTTTCCCTCATCACTCTCAACTTCCACTCCATCCTTTTTTCAACCTCCATTGCATGCCGCCTCACAACATCCCTTCCGGCTTCCCACTCCTTCATAGCGGCTTCCTGCTCGTCCTTGGGGATATACATGGCTACCTCTTCTTCTTCTCCCAGGGACAAGTTGGCGACCCACTCTGAGATCCGCTTCTCCATTTCATCATCTTTGCTGCCACTGTACTGCCCTCGCTGTTCTCTTCTCCTCTCCAGTGGCTGATCATCTTCCTCCTCTTCTTCTTCCACCTCCTTCAACTTTGCTTCCTCCTCTTTCTGTATCCTCTCCTTCTCCCTAGCCATCTCTTCTTCTATCTTCTTTAATTTGGCCGCCTGCTCCTTCAAGGCTTTCTTCTTGGCCTCTTTCTTCTCCCGTCTTTCCCTCACAATGGCGGCCATCTTCTCCTCCTCCTCCTTCGAATATGGCTTGGTGGAAGTACCACCCCGGGTATCTACTCTACACGTCATCGTGTGCCAGAACCCCAGAGGAAGAGGAGACGCCAGAGGGTCCCCCAGAGGGAGAACCCAACAAGCAGCCCATACATCGGATAGTCGTCCATCGTGGCGTCAGGTGCACGACCGAAGTCCCCTTCCTCACCACTTAGACCTACCCGGACACTACCCACTAACTGACTTCCTAAGGACCACAGGGTAAGACCCTGTCAACTATGGTCACTAACCCAAGACTATTCTAAGGTTGTCACTACTGAACCAAAAGCTGATCTGGAGGCATTTAAGGAGATCCCCCGTAACTCCTCAAGAATTCTTTAACGTCGCAGACAGGACGACGTGATCTTGGTTCTTCCTGGCGATTTCAGCCCACAACTCAGCCGTTCCAGCCTACTGTGCCACACCGAGCAGCCCGCCGATCTGTACCGGTCCTTGGAGGGGTTCGTATCCCTCGGGACAGTCGAGTCGTCAGACACAGATCATCAGCTGTAGTAGGTCCGGTAGGGGAGTGGCTCAACCAGGCCTCAACACTTAAAGACGACCCTCGTTTCAGCCTACAGCTCGGCGTTCAGACCCTCTACACTGAACTCAGTAGACCTGCCGGACGGTACCAGTCATTGGGCTAGACGAGTTGTTTAACGAGCGCTTGCCGCTCATGCCCAGGTCTCCAAGTGCCAGCGTAGAGCTTTGGTCCTACTAAGCCCGTGCAGGTTTGGCAGCAAGGCCCTATCCTTCATCCACAGAGTCCTAACACCTAGGACAAAAGAGACTCAATGCAGAAAGAGAGACAGACAGACTCAGCAAGTACCGTGGGGTAAGTGCACATCCACAAGGTAAGGGGATAGGCTGTAAGGTCAACGAGATATCACCAACTCCAGCTTCGTCAAAATCTTGGTCGGCAGCTCTGGTCAACGCCTTGGTCAACGTTGAGTCAATGCGGACAACCCCCAGTCAACGCTTGGTCAACCACCTTGGTCAATGCCTAGTCAACCCTCTGGTCAACCCTTGGTCAACCCTCTGGTCAACAGTCTGGTCAACGCCCGGTCAACCCCTCACCTCGGCTATGGCTGCCGGCACCTTCACCTTCGTCACCCTCGCCCTCTACTTCCCCTTCCTTCACTTTCTTTCTTCTTCT